CCATACAGGAGCTGCTCCAGCCCCTGATCATCCCCATGGCCTCCTCTGGACTTGCTCCAACGGCTCCATGTCCTTATGTGCAGAACTGCACACAGTGCTGCACGCAGGGTCTCACCTGATAGGGTGAGGGTCCCCCTGGGCTGTTTCCCCCCACTTAGTGGGATCGGGATGCTCCAGGGAGAAGCTAAAATCCAGAGCACAGACAAACCCCCTGCACAAATGAAAGCCCCAAATCAAAAACCCAAACAAAAGCCCTGGTTTTGCAGTATCAACCTGCCATTTGTGGCGAGATAAATTGGATTAAATAACTAAACCCTGGCCCCGGGGAGTTTGTGTATTCCCAAACCTGCCAGCGGGCACTGACCGAGTGCTCCTCGGAGTCGGAGGTCTGCGAGGAGATGATGGGGTTGAAACTGGTGGGCGAGAGGGGCCCCAGCTTCTTCCTCATGGCTCGGATTTGAAGCAAGGCTCGGAAAGCTGCAGCAGTGGGGACAAGAGTTTGGGGGAAAACTGGGTGCTGAATGAGACACCTCCCAAAATAGCACCCATTTCCCAGGAGGGGCCTCCCTGTGCTGCACAGCATCACTGCACACAGGGCTGACCCAGAACCTGAGGATGGGAGATGTCAGTGAAATCCCAGTGATGCTAGCCCATTCCCAGAGATTCCAGCCCCCTCATGAGAGATGCCAGTCCCCCACCAGAGATGCCAGCCCATTCCCAGACATTCCAGCCACTTCCCAGGGCCGGTGGCCTGTGCTTACGCAGCCTGCAGATGGGGCAGTTGTTGGCCTGGTAACGCAGGGTGTCAGCGCAGGAATTGCACAGACAGAGTGAGTGTGTCCCGCACGTCCGACAGGCCCCCCACGCACTCGGCACTGTTGTCCCTCACCTCGTCCTCGGCCACCTGCCCATGGCAGACATGGGACCAGCTTGAGCTCGGGGTCCCCAGTCCATTGGTACAAGGGTGGGTGCCCTGGGAGCTCCCTGCCCGTGTCCCTGCTCTTGAAATCCAGCCCTGGGACCTTATCCCTCCCTCCTGGAGACGGGGCTGGAGGCATCAGGCACCTACAGCAGGATGCGACCTTCACCTCATCTTTTATATATAAAGCAGAGTGTGAGGCACATCCCATGCTTTGAGCCCCATAGTCCTCCTAAAGCAGCAAGATCCAGCCATCATCCTCTAAAGGAACCACAATGGATGGAAGAGAGGAAGGGAGCAAAAAGGAAGGGGCAAAAATGATGGGGGACAAAAAGGCTCCAATTCTGCAGCTTTCTGCCCCCAGCAGCTTTGATGCCACCACAAAGTGTCCCCAGACATCTACACAGCCCTGGCAGCTCCAAACTCTTCCCCAAGCATGTTTTAGTGGCTGGACCTGTGCTAGGGGAAGGGAAGAGGGGCTGAGGGAAGGCCTATGGGATGTGGGATGCAGGCACATACCTTGGAGTCCTGCGTGTTGTACTTGTTCTCAATGCCATAGATCTCCTGCAGGAGGTAGCTCACACCATCCACCTGCAAGCCCATGGGGAAGGGGTGAGGAGTAGAGATGTGTCCCTCCCCAGCTCCCAGCTCCATCCATTTGCATCAACACACTCAGGATTACACTGGAAAAGCGCCCTGGGAGGCAGGAGCAGGGCAGGGGCAGCCACTGCCCACACCGGGGTTTGCTGCTCCCCCAAAGCCCCTCGTGACCCTGGGGTGTGCAGGGCAAGAGCTGCCACCACCCTGGGGACACCCAGACACTCACCACTTGCTTCTGCTTGAGGGGCTTCACACAGAACGTGCCATCACTGTGCTGGAGGGAGGAGAGCACATGAGTGGGCACCGGGGCTGAGCACCCAGGGACCACTTTGCACCCACTCTGGAGCTGTCCCTGCTCCCTTCCTGCTCCCAACCAGCCCATTCTGCAGCAATTTCCTGACACCCCAGGACCAGGAAGCTGTGGGATGTCACATACAAGGCTGGAGGCTTGTTTGAGCAAGGAAGATGGGAGGTGAGATCAAACACCTCAAAAGTAATGCTTAAAATTAGGGGACAGTCCTGGAATTTCAGGAGGAGACCCAAAACAGCCCCAGCCCAGCAGCACCATCCTGCACCCTGCAGGGTTCCTCCAGGCTCTTGCATCCAGTGGGTGAGGGGGTAGGAGGGAGAGGATGGTCCCAGCATGGCACTTACCTTCTCGAAGGTGGCCAGCAGCACGTGGCAGTGCCCACTGTGCTCTGCAAGACACAGAGGGACACACAGGGCTTAGGGGATAGGCAGAGCCATAGTGGCATCAAGGACAAGCAGGAAGCTCTGCCCTGGGTTGGCATCCCAGTGTCAGCAACTGGGCAAGCCAACCCCACAAGGAACCCCATCCTCACCCTCTCCTTCATCCACCACCGCCTGCACGACCATGGGGTACACCTCCCGGTCCAGGTCAAAGCCCAGCTGGAGGGAGACAGGAGGAGAGGCTGGGTGAGATGCAGCAGGGATGGAGGCCTCATTCCACATCCACAACCATACCCAAACCCTGCAGGTGATGCCACTGGTGGGACCCACCTCGTCCTCGCTCCATTCGGAGGGGTCGATGGTGTGGGAAGGGACACAGAACTGCTGGCACACCCCTCGCTTGTAGTGCACCGTCTCCGACTGCAAGCTCGTGTCCCGGGGGATGTAGCTGTGCCATGGAGAGAGGACAGAGTCAGGGGCTCCGTGGGTGTCCCCATGCTCTGCCTGGTCCCCCCAGATCATGGAGATGCCAGGAAGATGGGAAAGAGGAGGGTCACATCCCATTCCCTGTGAATGCCTTTGGGGCTGAGCTAAGTCCTAAAATAATCCACAGGACTAAAATAACCCCAGAGGAGCCAACATGGGACAGGAGCGGACTCTGCAGCCAAGCTGGTGGGGACCAGGAGGGGCAGGATGGGACAGAAAGGAGGTGGCAGACAGGGGAGGTGAGGATCCCCCTCTATTTCCAGCAATGTGAAGGGGGGAAATGCTCCAGGGAGGAAAGGGTCAATGTCCATCTGGAGATCCACACACCCTGGCCAGGGGGACACACAGGGCATGGCAGGGGGGACACAGGCCAGACAGGGCTCCTCACCTCGCCACCCCATTGTGAAACTCCTCGCTGGCCTGGTAGTAGATGGTGATGGCCACGCGGGCGTCCGTGTCGAAGGTGAACTCCACGTTGTAGTGCACCTTGGCTTTGCTGACTTCCTCCCCCGGGGTCTTCACCTCCTCTGAGCACCTGGGGAGCACAGGATGTCCAGGAGATGGGCACTCCCTGGGCACGGCTCAGGGTGCTCCAGGACTGACACCCTGGCACAAGGCTGCTCTTGGCACCAGTGGCCACAAAAGGGGCTTCCCCATCCACCGAGGGAAACTGAGGCACACCAGGAGGGCCCAGAGTGCCCCAAGTCATACAATCCCAGCCTGGTTTGGGTTGAAGGGACCTTAAAGCTCATTCAGTTCCAACCCTCTGCCATGGGCAGGGACACCTTCCACTAGAGCAGGTTGCTCCAAGCCCCTGTGTCCAACCTGGCCTTGAACACTGCCAGGGATGGGGCAGCCACAGCTTCTCTGGGCAAAGCCAGGCCTGTGGACTGGGAAGTGCTCCAGCAGATTCCAGATGCAATCCCATACCTCCTGTCCCAGCCTCTCTCCAGCAAAGTCTTTGGAAGGTGGGGGAGGAAGGAAAAGCACTTCAAAGGCAGCACAAAGCTCCTTTAATCCCACAGGCAGCCAGCACCAGCATGTGGGAAACTCACCCGTACTGGGAGGGGACGGGGACAGCAATAGCTCATCCCCTCTATCCAAAGTGAGAGCATCCCTGTGCTCAGCGCCCCCTGGAGCACCCAGATGGACCCTTCCCTTGCATGGCTCATGGGATGAGCACCGTGGTGTGCCCACCCCTGTCGTCCCCGCAGGACTCACTTGACAAGGCGCAGGGTGTCCTTGCGGATATTGATCAAGCTCCTGAGGGTCTTCACGGGTTCCTGAGGAGGTGGAGCAGCATAAGGGAACTAGGACGAGAGAGACACTGGTGAAGGCAGACACACACGGGGGGTACAGCAGCCATGGACCTTGTCCTGGATCCCCCATCCCCAGCCCAGCACCCTGTATGCAGGGACCCAGGGTGGCCCATACATCCCGATGGGTGCTGACCCACAGCTCCCGCTGTACGAGGCAGTGTGATGACAGGGACATCCTTCTGCAAAGAGCAAGCCCAAAACCCCTTGCAGAGGGCAGTTTCACTGTGGGGACATGCAGAGAGGGGCAGTTCCTTGCCCCTTTGGCTGGAGGGCAAGTGAGACACGGGCACAGGGCAGGCGGGCAGCTGGTGGTGTTGTTTTAAGCTCTTGGTGCAGTGTGGAGCTGCTGGATGAGGCTGGGTAGGAGGACGCTGAAGCTCCAGAACAAGAACAGCCAAGGAACAGACACAGGGTCCCTGTTTTTCCCTGAGATGGACGGGAATTGAGTGGTGGGATCTCTGCCATGCCCAGAGCAGGGAGGCAAAGGGGTGACCAGGCAGGACCAGGCAGCAGCACCACAGGGGAAGCGTCATGTCATCCTCCAAGGTGACTTTGTCCTTCCTGGTCCCTCCTGTTCACCTGCATGTGGGCTACAGGGTTTACTGAGGAGAGGGGACACGGTGGCAGTCAGGGATACCCCTTCCTTGGCGCTGCAACTGCCCAAAGGAGGGCACTGGGGAAGGGGTACAGGACCCATCTCCCTCCTCTCCATCTCCCAGGTAGCTTAAGCCCCATGAAGCGACAACACAAAGACATGTTGGAGACACAGAGGCTGGGATGAAGGCCCAGCTCGTTGGTGAGCTGTCACTGTGGCAGGGGACAGCCAGCGCCAGGACGGCATCAGGTGCCATCAGGGCTGGCAGATGCTGACGAGACCAAAGGGCTCAACTGCTGCCTTTGGAGAGGAAATGGGAACCACGCCAGGCTGCCTGGGGCTGCTTGTCCCCCCATGTCCCCCCCAGCTCAGACAGCGAAGCACTCACTGGAACCTGGTACCAAAGGGACAAGACTGAACTGCACACGGCCCCTGGGGGGAGCGAGGTGCCCGTTTCCCATGGCCCTGGCGCCCTCGCGTGGGAAGTCCATCATCACCCACCCTGCGCACAAAGCCCTGCAGAGCAGGAAGGATGGGGCTGGGTGACCTGTCCACGACTCAGAGGGTTGGGATGGGATGGGACAGACAGCTCGCAGGACCAGGCAGCACAGGAACAGGCCTGCCCCTTCCCTCCTCCACCACCCAGCATCACCTCCTGTGTCCCACCATCCCACAGCTCTGGTCCACCAGTGGCACTGAAAAGCAGGTTAAAGCTTGGGCCAGCCCCAGCATGGCTGACAGCACCAGAAGCTTTGAAGGTGAACCCACAGCACCTCAGGATTGCCCCTGCTCAGCCATTAACCTGGTGTTAATGAACCTGTTAATGTTCAGAATCACACCTTGCAGATGGAAGGGAGCAAGTGAGAAAAGGCCTCAGGGCTGGAGCTGAGCCGTGTCACGACATGCTGAGGCATGTTACGATCCTCTGCTAGTCACGTTAAATACTCCAACCTTTTGCTCCCAGCCCAGCCATACCCAAAGCAGCCTGCACTAAGTGGCAGAACAGAAAGCACCCCTGGGGGCCAGCCCCATTGCACTACAGCACCCAGGGGTGGTTGGTGCAGGAAAGGGGCAGCAGGTCCCCTGGGTGCTGGGCAGGATGGGAAAGTGCCACAGGCAAATTTTGTGCTGCAGAAACGTCACCACTGGGCTCCTTCACACCCACGTGTGGGCTCTTTTTGGGGGCAATTGGGTTTTTTATTGAATTAAGTGCTGCAAGCCTGATCTGACATCACAAAAGGCTGTTGGAGGAGGTTTTGCATCTCCTCAATTTAAATCAAGATGAAAAACAACAGGAAAACCCCCTCACTGCAACCGTTACCCTTAAGAACATCGTCCATGTGATACAGCAACATCTGGTCCAGGCCCCCTTCTGCTACAGTGAAAAACAAACCTTCAAATGCTCTCTTGGGGCTTCTCTATAAGAAGAGCCAGGCAGGTTTGCACGGCCAGGGAAACCCAGTGACACGCTTCAGTAGTGCTGAGCTCCCCCTGAGCCCTGTGGGTGCCACAAGCAGCTTTCCTGCTCCTCGGCCCCTGCAGGGCTGTGCCAGCGTGATGGCAGCTACTCAAACCTGCAACACCCTTCCCAGCCCCTTGGGAACCTGTTTTCCAGCTGGAAAATCCAGATTATCCATGGAGAGGAGAGTGCACAGCCTCTGGGTGCTCTGCACATTGCTGCTGTGAATAGCTCTGACACGGTGCACAGCTCAGAGAGGACTTGGGACACTGGGACACAATTTTTCCTGTCTCTTGATATCCAAGGAACCCAAATAAACCCCCCAACAAAAAGTACTTGCCACATCCAATGCTTCCAGCCCAGCTGGGGCTCTCACAGCAGACAGAACACAAAAGCATCGCAACCAAGCAGCATGAAGACAAGTCTTAGAGGTGGCATCAGAGATGCCCAAACAACGGTGCTTGGACAAAGGCTTGGACCAGAAACAACACAGATCCTTCCCAACCCCTCCCTGAGCCCCCATAACTGGCCTGACCTGGAAGCCCAGCCCCAAAATGCCCCTGGTTCCCAGGGAGATGAGACCTTGGTGGCAGCTCTGCAGCCCAGGGCTGTCGGTGATTAAACCAGAACGATGCAATTTAGCTGGCAACACTGTGCTAATTCTTTCTGCTGTTCCCAAGCTGTTCCTTTTCCTTCCCCACAGCTTCTGCTGTTGGGGGTCTGACCTGGGACCTGCTCACTGGACAGTTTAGAGGCTACTACTGAACCAAGAGGGTTTCTCAGTGCTCACTGCTGGAGAGGGAATCTGAGCGCTGACTCTCTGGGGAAGCGCAGAGGATGTAGAGCAGGGCACTGCCTTTGCCCACCCAGCGCTCACAGGGTTTTTGGGGTGCCACCACTTCTCTGGGCACCCTGTGCCACCGCCTCAGCACCCTCACAGGGAAGAACTTCTGCCTAAGAGCTCATCTCAATCTCCCCTCTGGCAGGTTAAAGCCATTCCCCTTGTCCTGTCCTTGACAAAAGTCCCCCTTAGAAAAGGGGCTCTCAGAGAGCAAGAGAGGAGTTGAGCTAAATGAGCCATGACCCCTCACCATCTTCTTCACCAGCTGATGTTTTTAAGCTGGTGGGTTTGTGTGTGCAAGCAGCCCTTGTGGCCTGGAAAAACATGTGCAGATCCAATGACCCGCAACACGGAGCTGCACTGAGCAGCACCCACAAGCAGATGTCACACAATCACCCAGTCTGCTCCCAACCACCCGCAAACCTGTTCACCCCTTGCAATAAGAGAGTAACACTGGAACAGGGTGCCCAGAGAAGCTGTGGCTGCCCCATCCCCGGCAGTGTTCAAGGCCAGGTTGGACACAGGGGCTTGGAGCAACCTGCTCTAGTGGAAGGTGTCCCTGCCCGTGGCAGGGGTTGGAACTGGGTGAGCTTTAAGGTCCCTTCCAACCCAAAGCAGTCTGGGATTCTATGATTCTTTGCTGTGGAGTGAATGCAGGAAAACAGGCTGAGAGGAGACCCAGGTTAGTCCCAGTGTAGGACAGGCTGTAGTAAGTAGCCAACCCTTATATTAGACATCAGAGAATCCACTTGGGCTACCCAGGCATGCTTGGCTTGAGAAGTAACAGCCAGCAGCCTCATACCATGACACACACAGTCACTATCATTTTGGGAGGGGGCATGTCTGTGTACCCCCCAGCCCTGTGTGTCCTCCCAGCCCCATGTCCCCAGTGCCCACCACCACGGGCCGGTTCCCCAGGAAGTTGAGGTCACTGTTCTCTCCGAAGAGGTATCCCTCGGGGTGTGTGGAGTCAAACTTCTCGCCGCCCATGATGAAGTGGTTGGCAAAGTAGCTCCCTGGAAAGCAAACACAGAGACCGCCTGAGCCGAGGGCAAGGATGGGGCTTCAGCCAGGCAATGAATGGAGCAGCACAAAGCCCCCACATCAACAGCTCAGAGGTGGCTTTGTCCCCAGGGTCACCTCGCTGGAGCCTTTCAGGTTGAACAGACACCCAGCAGGTGCAGGGGAAGGAGGAGCTGACCAAGAAGCAACCCTCCCCGGCTGCTTCTCCCTGCCTGCCTCACCCTCCATCTCCCTGCTGCATCCCCCCGATCCCAGCCCTCCCCGGGGCTCCAGTGGATGAAGTCTGGGAAGATGGAGCCCAGACGGGAAGAGGCTGGTGCAGGAATCTAATGGGAGCAGGTTCATACCCCAGGGCTGTGTCCCTCCCCTGCGCCCCTTTCCCTGCCTGGGACATCGCTGCGAGCCCCGGCCTGGCCTCAACCACCCAAGGTCACCCCAGCCTTCAACCATCAACCTTTGGTGCTGGCACCGAAAGCCCTGGGAGCCCCCATGGAGCTGGGAAAGGGCAGCATGGACCAAGCACACAGGCAGGGCTGCTCCTGCCCAGCATCACAGACCTCATGTGCCAGCCAAGACAGCGTGTCCGCAGCCAGACATTTGCCACTGGCAGGAAGATGGGCAGAGCACACCTGAACCGAGTTCTGTCTGTTCTCAGCCCACAGCCTTCCCTAGGAAGGGCTCACCTGCAGGAAGGAGGATTTGGGGGGGGCTGTAGACCCTCCAGAAGATGAAAACCCACCTGCAAAGTGCTCACATTGCCCTGATGAACATCAGGCAATGACCAGGGACCCTTCTCCCGTTGCAAGGTAAAGCACAGAGCCAAAACACTGGCATGTCCTGTTCCCCACACTGGGAGCAGCCCCGCAAGACCCAACTGGGGCAGGAGGGTTGGGACTTCTCCTTGAGGTGGGAAAAGGAAGGGAAAGGGAGGGGAGAACAGGGATGGGGTGAGCAGGAGCACCAGGGGCCAGGAGAGGCAAGGGACGTAGGACAGACACAACACTGCATCCCACTGGCCATGGGGACAGGGTCCAGCTTACAAAACTCCTAAACCCAACAGCACAGACTCATCCACAGCCTGCCAGGGACACCCCAAAACTAAACCTTTGGATAAAGGAGCTCAAGCCTGGGCTGCAGCTCTGCTTGTGCGGACTGAAGTCAGAGCTTGCGGTTGGCTTCCAGCAGATGCAGCGACTGCCCAGGGCTGGATCAGGCCTTAATCCTGCATTTCAGAACCAACCCCCAGTCAAAGCCCGAGGAAGGAGGAGCAGGGATGTAACTTGGGGGCAGGAGCGATGAGAGGGGCTGTAGAGCTTCACCCCACAGCACAGGGATGCCCAGATGCAGCAACCATCAACCATCTATTATTGATGCCTGCTGCATCCTGGTCCCGTTTTCCACGTACATAATTTATAGGCAGCTCCCCAGGGAAGGACACGGCCATGTGAAAAGAGAAAAGCCACGAGCAAAGTGCCTGCAGAGCTGCCATCAGCAGCGCGGCCGGGGCACCATGGGGCCAGCTGCAGCTTTTCCTGGCACTGACTCGGGGTGAGAGCAGGAGGTGGGAAAATGGTACTTAAACCTGCAGAAAAGCTTCTCCAGCACTGGGAGAAAGCTGGAAAATGGAGCAGGGGCTCTCAGAGATGGTTCCAGCCACAGTTTGGTAGGTGCTGGGGGCTACCCAGAATAGGAGCAGGTGGGGAACACACCACTGTCACCCCATCTCCTTGCCAGGGAGCACCCCTGGGTGCTGCAGGCTCCCAGGGCACCCCATGCATGGCCCAGGGGCTTCAGCTCCCCCTTTGCTGCAGGCAGCACTGGCCACATGCTCCAGCCTAGGGAAGGTCCTCCAGAAACTTTACCATTAAACAGGAGCCTCAAGCTGTGCCCTGGGGTGCCAGCGACCCCATGGGCATGGCGGGTGGCAGAGAAGCACCTTCCCAGTCACAGCCACCTTATTATTGGCTAATTACAAATCCTTAACCAACACCTATCCCCAGGGGAAGGAAAAGCCCATCCAGGATGGTCACATTGCCAAGGGAAAGCCAGGCTTTAATGAGATCTTAAACTCGAGAGGCCCAAAGAGCATGTGGGAAGGGCTGACCAGAGCGGCCGCTGGAGAAAAGCAATAAACCAAACTGGCCTGAGCTTCCTGGCAATCCAAGTGTGTCCTGCAACAGGACATATCTGACACTAGCCAGTGCCAACGACACTGTCAGCCCCTTTTCTCCATGAGTTCCAGGGGTGCACCTTGCCTGGATGCACCAAGAGAGACAAAGACCCCATGGGCACAGAGCCTGGTGCACGCTGTGGCTGCATCCATGGTTCTGCACACAGTGACACACGTCCTGCATCACTCCCTGAGCCATCACTGGGTGCTCCTGCCCTGAAGCATCCCATGGGTGAGCTGGCATGTTGAGGCTTGTTTAACTCCACACTCAAACACAGGCAGCCAGCACCAGCAGCAGCCAGAGG